AATTTCTACTTCAGTACAGTAATAAAGTATTTGTACTTAGTTACTTTATAACTCTGCCTGTTCTGTTGTAGATCAACTGTTGTGGTTCTGCTGGACCCGGTATGGTCCAAACTTCAGCTGTCAGACAAATGGACTCACAAATGACACATTAGAAACTTTAGGTCTACAGATGTGGTCCAAAAAAACCATTTAAAAGCGACCCTCCTCTGTCCCTCAGCTCTTCCCGGTCCACTTGGTGTTACGGGTCCAGAATCTGTTTCTTCAAACTGAGTTTGTTTTAAAAGCCATCCTCAACAGGTAAGACGCTGTTTGTTGTTTAGAAGCAGTCTGGGTGTGTTTACACCGTCTGGCCGCTGGGGGGCGGTGTTCCGTCGCTGATTGGCTCCTTCCCTCGGAGCGGCGCGCTTTGATTGGTCGGCTCGGAWACATCTGTATTCAGTTCCAGTTGTTCGTGTCTCTGGCCAGAAAACTGGTTCTGATTCGGACGGAGATGATCTGACCCGACTCGGCAGCGGGCTTAAATAAGATGATTCGTTTCCGGACCGTCAGCAGCGCGTGGTTCCGGACGGTTCTGTCCCGCTGGTTCGTGTTCGTGGGGAAACTTGCTGGGCCCTGAATGAATGGGTCCAGATTACGCAGCAGATATTCGGGTTTTTCTGACCGCTGTTCAAGAAAAGCCCGGTTCGGTCCGCTTGACGCTGGATTTGCCGGTTCCTCTGGACTCATACGCTTCCAGAGGTTCCGGTTCTGCTGATGGAGCGGTTCTGATTCTGGCTGCAGACACAAAGGAAGTCGTTTGACTATTATTTTTATTCTGTTTTTAAGGACCCCATAGGCACGAGCCCGGACCGACAAGTTCTGGTTCCGGACCACTCGGGTTCGATGACACTGAGCGGAATGTTTTGAGTTCTTCCCGAAGCGGCATCGGAACCAACCCTGAGCTTTTAATGCAAAGCCTCTGCAGGGTCAGGATGCAGTTCCGGACCGTTCTGGACGTCAAAGTGGTTGACGTGGAGAAGAGGCGGAACCCGTCCAAACATTACGTGAGTCCACCTCCCGGCCCGGTTCTGATTCTGTTGTGTTTTATATTTATCCCTCTGATGATGTTTGATGTGTCCGAGCTCACAGCGGTACCTGAACGCATCATTCAGCTGCTGAGGCTGCAGGCCGGAGATTAATGCAGCAACAACACACCTGCTCTGAAAATACACACCTGAACTGATAAACAACACACCTGCTCTGAAAACACACACCTGCTCTGAAAAAACACACCTGAACTGATAAACAACACACCTGAACTGATACAAAACACATCTGCTCTGAAAATACACACCTGCTCTGAAAACACACACCTGCTCTGAAAATACACACCTGAACTGATAAACAACACACCTGCTCTGAAAATACACACCTGAACTGATAAACAACACACCTGCTCTGAAAATACACACCTGAACTGATAAACAACACACCTGAACTGATAAACAACACACCTGCTCTTAAAACACACACCTGCTCTGAAAAAACACACCTGAACTGATAAACAACACACCTGCTCTGAAAACACACACCTGAACTGATACAAAACACATCTGCTCTGAAAATACACACCTGCTCTGAAAACACACACCTGCTCTGAAAACACACACCTGCTCTGAAAACACACACC